CCCCACCCCAACCCCGCCGTAGGCCCCCCACATAAATAAATAAAACTTCTATAATTTTTAAATAGTGATGTGTGATATACTCTTTGGGATGGAAGAATTTTATGATGAATTGTACGAAAAAACTATATTTTATTCTAATTTCATCCAATTACAATAAATTTTATTAGTTTGGGAGTTAATTTTATTAGTTTCAAATCAATTCTCTCAATATTACTCAATAACATGAGAAGTTAGTGTTTCGTTTTATAAATGCTCTCCAATAGCAGCGTTTAGTGTTATCATTTTCAAATTTGATCTACGCCATTAAATTTAGGTGTAAAATTAATTATATTTGACTATATTAAATTTAATCGTATCTGGTTTCAGCCAAATACACTCAAATAATTTTTAAATTTTGCACTCAATTGTATTAATTTCATTGAATTCTATCAATTTTTAGGAGTAATATTAAATAAATCACTTTATTTCACCTAATTTCACTAAATTTTTACCAAGTTATATTCAATTGGAGCGTAAGATTATTTGAATTTATCTTTTATATTTGCATTTATAAGCATATATAAAGATATTAATAGATGTGATAAAATTTTGATATATCAAAACTAAATTAAAAAATCAATTTAATTATATTAAATTTGTTGGACATGAGTTCAAACCCCTACACTATTTCTTCTGGAATATTTTTTGTTTTGATGAATGACAAACAGGATGATTAATTTCAAGCTAATCGAAAATTTATTTTCGTATCGAGAAAAGCAAAGAAGGGTATCAAGAAGTTTACGGCGATAAAAATCGACGATCACCCCTACGCAGATTTTTTTGAAGTGAAGTGAAGACTCCGAAGACTTTTTAATTTTTATTGAGTCTAGGATTCCTGTAAGGATGACAATAACTTTTGCATAAACAACTTAATTTCTAAGGGATAAAAAAAATTATTATTTTCTGAGTCAGTTGAAAAATTACTTTTCCTCTGTCTAAAAATATTTTATTGAGTCAGTTTCAAAATAAGTGTGTCAAAATTTCTTAAAAACATTTTTTTAAGAATACACAAACTTTTTTTTGTAAGAAAAATATGCTTTAAATATTTTTCTTGTACATCGTTTGACACACAAAATAACTTTTGGACTCTTTTTCTCTCCCCTACTCAAATTCATTGAATGAGATATGAGGAGCGTCCGTTGATATTCCCGTTGTCCAAAACAACGAGTTAGAAGCCAAAGGCTTCCAATCGCACTTGGCTTGGGCCCTTTATGTTTGCGCATTATTTCCACTTTAATCGATTAATTTTTCTAAATTAATCGATTAGATCCAGTTCCGGATTTCTCAAGCCTTCATTATTAATCGATTTTTCTTATTCTTTTAATTGATTAGTTCTCACAGCGCAGTCTAATCGATTTTTCCATCAAACTTAATCGATTAAGATTGCATTTCTCGCTGAAGACTTTTTTCCAATTAATCGATTAATCTTCTTTATTTAATCGATTAGTTGAGACAGCATCATCTAATCGATTATTTTGTCAAATTTAATCGATTAATTTGCACCCTGCGCAGAAGACCCTTTCGCTTCTGTACACTTTAATCGATTAAAGGCTTTACCTTAATCGATTAATATTGTCTGGTGTCTATTCTCAATCTGCTCCAACGGATCTTTTATCCTCAGCCTATTTAATCCCTCATTCTCCTTCATTTCTACACACAACTCTTGCACTCCAATATCTTCATTGATCAATATTCAATTCTTGCTTCCATCTTCCTCATCAAATATATTATTTTGAGAGTTAGAAATATTTTATTGAGTGCTAAAGATTTTGTCATCCATAGAGGTTTAATTCTTCAACACCACTTTGCTCAATTGTGTGAGCTTTCATTCTTGTGTTGTTAAACTCAATCTCATTTGAGTGTTGTTCTAAAGACTTGTGTGACTCAAGTCTTGTTGTTGTAAGAAAGTGAGGCTTGTGTGATTCAAGTTCTCAAGTTGTACCGGTTTTTCAAGCACCCGTTGAAGCTTGAAGATTAGTAAGACTTTCGAGAGAGTCTCTCGGAGGACTGGACTAGCCACGAGGTGGTGAACCAGTATAAATCTCGGTGTTCTTCTTTCCCTTACTCTCTTTATTTATTCCTGCGATTTTATTATTTCACACACGGGAAAATTGCACATTCTTGAAAACATTTCTATTCACCCCCCCTCTAGAGTTGCACATTTGTCTAAGAATTGGTATCGGAGCAGGAAGTTCCTCGAATACGCTATTTTTTTCAGGAACTAAAAGATCAAATGGCATCAAGAATGTTCAACGCGGGAGTGACCGAGGGACAATCAACCACGAGGCCATCGTTGTTCGATGGAACAAACTACTCGTATTGGAAGGAGAGGATGAGAATCTTTATCCAATCCAACGACTACAAGTTGTTGTTGATTGTGAAGAACGGCTGCGGAGTCCCTATGAAGAAAGTCAGTGAAGTCAACGTCCCCAAAACCGAAGAGGAGTTCACCGACGAAGATTGCAAAAAGATGGAGCTCAACGCAAAGGCAATAAACATGATTTATTGCGGTGTTAATGCGGATGACTACCGCAAAATCTCGCGGTGTGAAACCGCAAAACAAATGTGGGAGAAATTGGAGGTCACCTACGAAGGAACTGCGCAGGTTCGGGAGGCCAAAATCAACCATCTCACTCACGAGTATGAACTCTTTTCAATGAAGGAAAATGAGAAGATTGAGGAAATGTTTGAGAGATTCTCTAACGTCATCAATCCTCTCAATCTTCTCGGGAAGACATACACCGACCGCGAGCTCGTGAGAAAGGTGCTGCGAAGCCTATCCCCCAAATGGAGTTCAAAGGTGGACGCAATCGAAGAAGGTCGGGACTTCCAAACAACGACCTATGATTCTCTTCGAGGTAATCTTATTACCTACGAAACCATCCAACTCTCAAAGGTGGTTGAAGAGAGGAACAAGAGGTCTATTGCTCTACCCGCAACAACATCAACCCACAACAACGTTGATGATGACAGCGACAACACCGACCTCGGACTCTTTGTCCGAAAACTCAAGAAGATGATGCTCAAGAAGGGAGCCAAGAAGAACACTCCACCCAAATGCTATGGGTGTGGTGAAATTGGACACATCAAACCAATGTGTCCAAAGCTCAAAAACGAGAAGGACAAGAGGGCACCGAAGAATCAACGTGCCTACATTTCTTGGGAGAACGACGGCTCCGGGAGTGAAGACTCGGAAACGGAGGAAGTGGCCAACTTGTGTCTCATGGCCATTGAAGATGGTGATACATCAAAAGAGGTAAGTGATCAAGAACCTTCTCCCAATGATCCTTTAACTCTTGATGATGTTGTTTGCATTGTAGAAGATTTGGTAGGAATGTTCAAAAAGGCTTCCAAAGAAAACAATGAAATAAAGCAAAAAATCCTGGTTTTTGAGAATGAAATCAAAGAACTCAAAAATATAAATGATAAACTTAAACAAGAAATTATCTCTTTTGGAAAAAGGCCACAAGAACCTTCAACTACTTATTCTTCTACATGCTCTAGTTGTACATCACTAAAAGCTAAGGTTGCTAGTTTAGAGAGCAAATTGGGAAAGTTCAATAATGCTTCAAACACCTTAGATAAAATACTTAAGCAAAAAGTTAGTAATGGTGAAGGACTTGGATATAAGAAAAACCAACCTAGAAAAACAACATTTGTTAAAACTAGGGGGAATAAAAATGCTAGGATAAATAATCAAACTAGAAGAGCACATCCTAGCAAACCTTGAACTCATTACACTCAACCATATAGGATGAATAATCCAAATGTTATTTGCCACTATTTCAATAAGATAGGTCACATTGCACCCGTGTGCTTCACCAAAATTAGGCATTTTCAACAAACGCACACACATCGCACATATGCTAACCAAAAAGGACCCAATAATACATGGGTACCTAAACCGTCTCCTTGATATCTTTTTGTAGATGTGCTTGAAGGCTGCGAGTACCTCTTGGTATCTCGATAGCGGATGCTCCAAGCACATGACCGGAGACGCATCCAAAGTTAGGAGTTTAGAGTATTTCAAAGGTGGCAATGTCGGTTTTGGTGACAACAACAAAGGAAGAATCATTGGAAGTGGCACCGTCGGAAAGGACAATTCTACAACCGTTGAGAACGTTCTTCTTTTTTAGGGCCTCAAGCACAATCTTCTTAGCATTAGCCAATTGTGCGATAGAGGTAACCGTGTCATCTTTGATTCTAGTAAATGCATTGTAGAATGCTTGTGTGACAATAAGACTATTCTTTGTGGTAGTAGAGTAGATAACATTTACATGTTTGATCTTGAAAATTCCCCGTCTACTTTAGCTAAGTGCCTCATTACCAAAGAGGAAGAAACGTGGCTATGGCATCGTCGGATAGCTCACGTTAATATGGACCATCTTAATAAGTTGGTTTCTAAAGACTTAGTAATTGGTGTTCCTAAACTTAAGTTTGAAAAGAATCTAATTTGTGATGCATGTCAAAAGGGGAAGCAAGTAAGGGCCTCGTTTAAGTCAAAGAACGTTCTTTTTACGACTAGGCCATTACAACTTTTGCACAGGACCTTTTTGGACCTTCAAGAACTATGAGTTTAGGAGGTCATTACTTTGGCTTTGTTATCGTTGATGACTATTCGAGGTTTACATGGACACTCTTTCTTGCTCATAAGTATGAAGCACTTAATGCTTTTAAGAAATTCATTAAATTGGTTCAAAATGAAAAAGACTCTCACATTGCATCGATTAGAAGTGATCATGGGGGAGAATTTGAACAAGACGGCTTTGATGTCATTTGTGACGAATTAGGCATTGAGCATAATTTCTCAGCCCCCCGTACACCACAATAAAATGGCGTGGTTGAACGGAAAAATAGGTCTCTTGAAGAGATGGCTAGAACTATGCCGTGAGTACCGCGTGCTACGTGTTAAACCGAGCCGTCATGTCTTTGAAGAACCACCCGATTGACAATGTCATTGGTGACATAACGCAGGGAGTTTCTACTCGTAATTCTCTTAGGAACACAATTAATCACATGGCCTTTGTTTCACAAATTGAACCAACAACCATTTTGGATGCTATTAATGATGAACATTGGTCTATGGCAATGCAAGAGGAGCTTAACCAATTTAAACACAATGATGTTTGGGAATTGGTGCCTAGACCTAATGATCATTCCGTTATTGGCACAAAATGGGTGTTTCGTAACTAACTCGATGAAAATGGAATAATCACTAGAAACAAAGCTAGGCTTGTAGCTAAAGGCTACAATCAAGAAGAAGGCATTGATTATGAAGAAACTTATGCACCGGTTGCACGTTTAGAAGCTATTCGTTTATTGCTTGCATTTGCATCTACAATGGATTTTAAACTTTATCAAAATTGATGTTAAAAGTGCCTTCCTTAGCATAATGAAATACAATTTTGAAAGTTTTCAACACGATAAATCCAATAAAGTCATTTTTATGTTAAAATACATTACTGATTTTATTTAATTGAAGCTTGAAGTTTGTCACGTTTGACTCGAAAAAGTCAGAGTGGACAAATACATTGGGACGGAGGGAGTACTCAAAATACATTTGATCGAAAGATATCTAAACTGAAACATATCCGAAACCGAAATATATCCAAACTGAACTAGATTCGAAACCGATATATATTCGATCCAAATTGTACCAAAACCGAAATCTATCCGAACTGATTCATATCTGTACCGTATGTGAACTGACTCCAACTTAACCAAAACCGAAAAATGTATAGAACCGAATCACATCTGAACCGAAATTAAACTGATCCGAACCAAATCGTACTAATTACTCCGTATAACATTTATCTGAAAGATATCCAAACTGAAATAATCCAACCAAGAATTGATCCGGTTGACCCAACCGCCACCTCTAGAAATAACTTATTAATTTCACATTTGAATAACAACGATATAGTTTGGGATTTTTAGTTATCACTTTTTAAAAATTTGTCCCATATCTTTTTTGAAAATAGGACGTTTTCCTCTAAGTGATTAGCATGAAACACACATTGTGTGTTTGGTGCCCAACATTGAAATTAAATAACAAAAGTAAAATGTGTGACTTTGTATGGTGCCTTAAAATTGTTCAAGACTTGGATCTACAAAACTTTTAACACTTCGGATTTTAAACTTTGCATCATGCAACTGGAGGTGAAACTTATGTTTGGATTCCTACTACTATGTACTACTACTCAAAGCATCATACTACACGATGTGTTTAAGAAGTAGTCTTATACAAAATGGCACAATACCATTCCGACCAAGGCAATAAAGATACCAAGAATTCAAAAACCCGTCGGTCTCTAGCTTGGCCAAGTTTCTCTCTCTGGCGATAAGATGGGATTCCCGATCTCCATCTCGTTACCATAGTCAAGCTTCGATTCATGCTCTTTTCTGTATCAAAACTTCAGATTTTATGGATTAATCTGATCGTCTTCTTTTTGTGCATCTCCTCAGCGATTTATCATGCCCAGTTTCTTCGATCTCTTGGGTTAATCGCTAGAGCTGATTGTTCGGTTACTGTTCACTCGTCTTCTTCATCGTGTAGATTCTTCATCTATACCATGGTTAAGCCACTTCTTCATCCCAAACCCTTTAACCAAGGTCGTGGGGATGTGAAGAAAAGTGCTAAACCTAGTTCAAAGAAGCTGGGTACTGTGACGGAAGAAGCCAAGAGCAAGCCAAGGTTGGATTCCATTCCGGCCTTGAAGGATGTGGCGAAGGAGGTATCAGTTCATTCTTCGTCTAGCTCATCAGCTGAAAGCTCGTCCTCTTCCCCACTGGAAACTCCACCCAATCAGGTTTTGGAAGAAGGTGTTACTGTGGACTCTGCACTTAAGGTGTTTGACAAATTGCCAGACTCGGCTATTAATGAAAAGGGGCCTCCAAAGTCCACTTTTGCTCAACTCTTTGAAGGTAACAAGGTTCCTGCCAACGGTATGAAGCTCAAATACTATGATGTTGGTGATGGTGATGTTCTTGATATCCCAGATGAGATTATTAAACCGGTGGAAGACATTTGGGGCTTTTGTCTTGTTGGGTGCTTCACGGGTCGATTCCCAGGTCTTAAAGCAGTTGATTCTGTTGTTAAACAATGGGGTGTCGCTTGTAAGATTATACCACATTGCAAAGGGTGGGTGGTCCTGCGTTTTGAAGATGAAGCTGCCAGGCAGCAGGTGCTGGCTGCAGACAGAGCAGTGGTCTTTGGGAAAGAATTCAGGCTGAAGATCCCAGGCCATTGCTTTATGTTTGATTTTAGTGAATTTACTACCATGCCCACTTGGATTAAACTTCCCAACCTTCCTATGCAACTTTGGTCAGATGAAAGAATTGGATACGTAGCCTCAAAGGTTGGAAAACCAATTTGTACCGATGTTGTCTCTAAAGAAATAGGCAAAGCTCGCTTCTGTAGGGTGCTGGTGGATCTGGACTTATCTAAGAAGCCAAGAACCAGTATCACAACTAATGTTATGGGCAAGACTTATATTCAAGAGGTTGTATATGAAGATCAATTGAGGTATTGCTACCACTGCAAATGTCGGGGACACAGCCCTCTTTCTAGCAGGGTATTGGAGGAGCTTCATAATGTTAGACAAATGTGCAACTCTAGAAGGGGGGTGAATAGAGTTGTTTTCAAGAATGTGCGTTTTTCGCGTGTGTGAAATAATAAAATCGCAGGATTAAATAAAGAGAGTAAGGGAAAGAAGAACACCGAGATTTATACTGGTTCACCACCTCGTGGCTAGTCCAGTCCTCCGAGAGACTCTCTCGAAAGTCCTACTAATCTTCAAGCTTCAACGAGTGCTTGAAAAACCGGTACAACTTGAGAACTTGAATCACACAAGCCTCACTTTCTTACAACAACAAGACTTGAGTCACACAAGTCTTAAGAACAACACTCAAATGAGATTGAGTTTACAACACAAGAATGAAAGCTCATACAATTGAGCAAAGTAGTGTTGAAGAACTAAAGCTCTATGGATGACAACTTCTTTAGCACTCAAAGAAAATATTTCTAACTCTCAAAAATAATATTTTGATGAGGAAGATGAAGCAAAGGATGAATATAGCTCAAAGAATATATTGGAGTGCAAGAGATGTGTGTAGAAATGGAGGAGAATGAGGGATTAAATAGGCTGAGGATAAAAGATCCGTTGGAGCCACTGAAAAGAACTAGAATAGGCACCAGACATAATTAATTGATTAAATTAGGGATTTTAATCAATTAAAGTGTACAGAAGCGAAAAGGCTTGAATTGCAAAGGTGGAATTAATCGATTAAAAAGAGAGAGAAATCGATTAGCTTGCTCTGTTTAAACTAATCGATTAAATGGAGCAATTTAATCGATTAAGTCTATTGGCCTGAGAAATCCAGCGCTGAGAAATTGGATCTAATCGATTATTTTAGAAAATTTAATCGATTAAAGTGAAAATAATGCGCAAACATGAAGGGCCCAAGCCAAGTGCGATTGGAAGCCTTTGGCTTCTAACTCGTTGTTTGGGACAACGGGAATATCAACGCTCCTCATATCTCATTCAATGAATTTGAGTGGGGGAGAGAAAAAGAGTCCAAAAATTATTTTGTGTTTCAAACGATGTACACGAAAAATATTTAAAGTATATTTTTCTTACCAAAAAAAATTTTGTGTATTCTAAAAAAAATGTTTTTAAGAAATTTTGACACACTAATTTTGAAACTGACTCAGTAAAATATTTTAGACAGAGGAAGAGTAATTTTTCAACTGATTCAAAAAATAATAATTTTTATCCCTCAAAAAATAATTTGTTTGTGAAAAAAAAATTGTCATCCTTACAAAGATTCCTAGACTTAATTAAAAAATAAAAAAAGTCTTCGGAGTCTACAATTCACTTCAAAAAAAATCTGCGTAGGGGTGATCGTCGATTTTTATCGCCGTAAACTTCTTGATACCCTTCTTTGCTTTTCTCGATACGAAAATAAATTTTCGACCAGCTTGAAATTAATCATCCTGTTTGTCATTCATCAAAACAAAAAAATATTCCAGAAGAAATAGTAAAGGGGTTTGAACTCATGTCCAACAATTTCCCCCTTTTTAATAATGACAAACAGAGTTGAGAAAGAGCAAAGTAAGAGTTCAAAAATTACTTCCTTTTAAGAATAATTCCCCCTGCAAGGTTAGAGAAGTGCAGTAAAAATAATTGGAGTAATAAGCGGAAAAAGAATTACTCAACTATCCTTCCTTCCCCCTTTTGGCATTATCAACCGATAAGCTTCCCCCTTAAACAATGCCGGGATATTGAAGGAAAGTAAAAAAGATGGCACGAGTTTTCTTTAAAAGAGAACTCTTAGTAAAAAAAATGCCACAAAGGGACAATATGTTCTAAACAAGAACAATATTGCCAACCCAACAATGATATCAATACACAATCATAATTAATATTAACTAGCATCATTGAAAGGAACATCATCATCCACCAAAAGAGTCATAAAACAATAACATTAGCAAATAACAATGTATCATAATAAGTCAAGATAGAAGGAATATAATCAAAGTGAGTTCGCCGGACGAGCTCCTCCGCTAAAGCTGTGACGCGGGCCACGGTAGGAGCGGGATTGCTCAAAACGAGTCATCTTCTCATTGAGCTGGCGAACATCATCTCGGATGCACGTGAGAGTATCGAAGATCCTCTTCACCCAAGAAGGTTCCGGTGCTTCTTCTCTTGGATGAGTCCTGCGTTGACGAGTGACGCGCTCCGTGGCTCGACTTCCTCCGGCTCGAGATGACTCAGCTTGAGTCTCGTTTTCGCTCTCTTCTTCTTCTGCGACTATCAGGTCCAGATTTGGTGCAGCATCGCCCTCCTCTCGGTACACGATCCTGTTGGAACACGGGTTTACGCCTATGTCGTACTAAGCCGTGTTCGTTTTATGACAGGTTTTGATAATGCCAAACCGTCGTGACAATAACAAGGTTAAATGGCAAAACCAAGGCGAAGGAACATGGCATGATGAACTGAGAACCAAGAACCAAGAATCAAGGACGAAGACTTAGAATTATATTGAGTCGGTTTTAATGTGATCAAGATCGACACAAACCTTCAAAACATGGCTCTCTAGGCTCATTTCATCAAAATATTTTTTGCATATTCGAAATGATTTTCTTAAGTCTTAAACCTGCCTGAAAACACTTGGAGTTCGCCCAAACCAAAAACCAAGCCATCCGGCGTTCGGTCTTCGGAAACCGGCGTTCGGCTTTCGGTTATCGGCATTGGTTTTTTGCGCTCGAACCAACCAAGTGGTTTTCAACTTTTAATGATTAGTTTTTACTTCTGGGCATATTTAAATAGTTCTCCAACAAAAACGCTTCAAAAACCACCTTTCGTTTTGGTCGCTTAGTGAAAACCATGCGAAACGACGTAAACTTGGCTAGCCGTGGTTTTCAACTAAATGACGTGGTTTTCAAAATGTTTTACTTGATTTCTTAGAAAAATGCATTAAACAAACTTTTTCAATACTTGGCTTTTATTTTGGAGAACTCACATTTTTGACATCGGCTAACGGCGTGACTAAACCAACCATGGGTCTGGCTAAACCAGCCCAACAACGATGTTGAGGTAACCAACAGCGCTGTCTGGCTTGGGTAGCTAAAAACATGGTTTGGCGTTAAGTCCTCCAACAGCGATGTTGGACATTAGACATCGCTGTTGAGCCAAGGTTGGATTTCCAGAAACTTCTGGAACAGCGATGTAGGCTTCCCAACAGCGCTGTCCAACCTAAGCCAAAGATATTGTGCATTGGCAGAAAGTTTTTGGACAGCGATGTTGACCCAGAAACAGCGCTGTCAGGCCAAACTTCCATCTTCAAAGGCAGACCTAAACAGCGATGTTCTAGTATGGAACATCGATGTAGAGACCTGACCGTGGGAAGGAATTTAAGGCTAAAACTTTCCTTGTTTGGAAGTCTACAGCCAAAACAGCGATGTAGGGATTTTAGACATCGCTGTTGGCATGACCGTTGCTTCCCATTTTTCAAAATGCAAGCCTAGAACAGCGATGTCCAAGCCTAGGACAGTGCTGTCTGGGTGAATTTCAACAGATCCAAATTTCATCAAATCCCACAAATTGTGCCAATCACCCCTTAAATACTTTGATCCGTTGGAGCATATTTTTCTACTATAAAATGGGGTGTTTGGGTCTGTTTTATATATCACATTACTTCACAACTCCTACTCTTTCATTGCAAATCATTCTTCAATTATTCATAGCTTTTGAGAGCCATTTTTTTGTGAAGCTTGTGTTGTGTTCTTAGTTTACTCATTATCCACTCTAAAAGAGAGTATTGTTCTTGAGTGTTTTTATTGTTCTTAAACACTTAACAAGAGAAGGTATTTCTCTTGTTGTTCGAAGGAAGGGCTGTTTCCTTCGAAGGTTCGTTGAGGTTCATGTGACTCGAATTCTCAAGTTGTACGGGTTTGTTAAGCACCGTTAAGCTTAACGAGGTAGTAGTGTAGCTCGAGAGAGTCTCTCGGGAGGCGGGATTAGCCACAAGTTGTGGTGAACCAGGGTAAAATCGGTGTGCCTCTTACTCTTCTCTTTACTTCTCGTTTATTCATTTTTTATTCCTGCGATTTTTGATCAAACGCTATTCACCCCCCCTCTAGCGTTAGTCTCTTATTCTAACAATTGGTATCAGAGCCTAACTCGCATCCAAACTTAACCGTTTGAGAGTAAAGCGATCATGGGCTCTTCTTCTAGAAATCTCTATGCAGGAATTGGAGAAGGTCAATCAACTTCTAGACCACCACTCTTTGATGGTACCAACTACTCTTATTGGAAGGAACGGATGAGAATCTACATTCGTTCCACCAACTTCCAATTGTGGTTGGTGATCAAAAATGGCGAAGAAATCCCTATGAAGAAAGTGGGAGAAACCACGGTTCCAAAGACTGAAAACGAATTTGATGTCGAGGACATCAAGAAGATTGAAAACTATGCAAAGGCCATCAATATGCTATATTGCGCGGTCAACCCCGATGACTACCGAAAGATCTCCTGTTGCACAACCGCCAAGGAGATGTGGGACAAGCTTGAAGTGACGTACGAAGGTACCGATCAAGTTCGCGAAGCCAAGATCGATTTTCTCACCCAAGAGTACGAAATGTTCCGGATGAAAGAAGGTGAGAAAATTGATGACAT